TTTGGATAAGAAGGTATTGATACACAAGCTGCCAAATGGTAGGACCGTTAGACTGCAAAAGTTCAAAGCTAGCAGTCTAGTGGAAAACTACAGCTGCATGTGTACCGCCTCTTTCTATAACTACGATAAGCAGAATAGTGAGGAGGGCATGTATCTAGTCTTTGTCTTTGAAAAAGGGGAGGTCGTAAAAACACCCCCAGAGATACAGTCAGTCGTCGCTCAGTATCCTGACCTTTTTGAGTAGCCAAGAGGAGTGATTGGAAGGAAGGTGGTGCATGCAATAGAGGTTGAGCCCGATAGTAAGGTACCTAGAGGACGCATCTGTAGGATGTCTCCCGCAGAGTTGGATGAACCCCGCCGCCAGCTCAAAGAGCTCACAAAGAAGGGACGGATTCGGCCTAGTACCTCCCCTTACAGTGCTCCAATTTTATTTGTTCCTAAGAAGGGAGGTACACTGAGGATGTGCATTGGCTATAGGGGCCTCAATGCCATCACTGTTAAGAATGCGGAGCCCCTACCCCGCATCAACGACCTATTGGATAGAGTGCAGGGATGCGGGTACTTTATTAAGATAGGTCTAAAGTTCGGATACCACGAAATTGCCATTAGACCGGAGGATCAACACAAAACCGCTTTTCAGACCAGGTACGGTCTGTACGAGTTTGTGGTGATGCCCTTTGGTCTATCCAATGCCCCTGTGACATTCCAGCACGCAATGAATAGGATATTTCATGAGTACTTGGACAAGTTTATTGTCGTGTACCGCGACGATATCCTTATCTTTAGTAAGACTGTAGAGGAGCTCGCTGAGGACTTAAAGATTGTGCTAGGTCTCCTAAGACAACACCAGTACAAGGTAAACTTGGAGAAATGCGAGTTCGGTCGCACCAAGATCTTGTACTTGGGTCATAAAATCTCTGTGGATGAGTTGAGGCTGGACGATGCCAAAGTGGCCAGCATATGGGACTGGCCCAGACCTTAGACTGTTACTGAGGTCTGATCGTTTTTGGGGATGACGGGCTACTATCGTCCGTTTGTTAAAAACTTTAGTACTATAGCTTCCCCATTAACAAATCTAACTCGACTTGACACCCTTAGGGAGTGGACTGAAGAGTGTGAATCAAGAAATTGAAGTATGCTCTGACACACTACGAAGTCCTCAAACTTTCGGATCCTGATAAGCCGTTTGTCGTGACCACAAACGCTAGCCAATATGGCATAGGCGTGGTCCTTGGCAAAAGGAGGGGCCAAAGTTAAGACCCATCGAGTACATGAGTAAGAAGATGCCATCTCAGAAACTGGCGAAGTCCTCGTATGAGCGTGAGCTGTATGCCCTCTATAGAGCGCTGGTCCATTGGAGACACTACTAGGCAGATCTGACCATGAGACTTTGCGCTGGATTAGGACGCAGCCTGTACTCTCTGACGCACTCAAGAGGTGGATTCAAGTAATAGACATGTATGACTATCAACTTGATCCAATCAAGGGGGGGTACAACAAAGTGGCTGACCTTGTATCACGTTGGGCAGATTATCTGGGCGCACTAGTGACTGAATTTGGCATATCTGACGATCTAATTCGATCTTTGGTGGAGGCCTATCAGCAAGATCCAGTTGTCTGAGATCACCCGTAAATTCAAAGAGAAAGATAAATGAACTTCTGATGAATTTAGGATGGTAGACGCCTTGCTGTTTCTTGAGAAGGCAGGGAATAAAAGACTGTGTGTTCCAGATAGTGAGTCTTTGCGTAGTTTATTTTTAGGGGAATGTCATGATGCACCTGGCCATTTTGGCTATAAAAAGACTTCAGCTAACCTAGTGCAGAGATTTTGGTGGCCTACTATGATGAAAGATGCAAAAAGATACGTTGAGACCTGCCAGGTTTGCCAACGGGACAAACCTAGGACTCAGGCTGCGCTTGGGCTAATCAAGCCCTTGCCGATTCCTGAAGGCGCAGGTCAGAGTGTGTCCATGGACTTCATGGATACTCTTGTGACCAGCAGGACTGACTACATCATCAAACTACATCATCAAACTGACTACATCATCTTCGTTATAGTGAATCGCTTTTCTAAGTATGCAAGGCTTATTGCTATGCCGGAGACCGCTAAGACTGACTACATCATCAAACTGTTTTTGGATAACTGGGTCCGTGATTTTGGACTCCCTACATCTATAGTAAGTGATAGGGATGTAAGATTTACCAGCGAACTGTGGCAGTCAACAGCTGAGCAGATGGCACCAAGCTACAAATGACGTCAGGGAACCACGCTGAGTCAAATGGCCAGGCAGAACAGATGAACCGAGTAGTACAGCACCTGCTTCGGCATTATATTAAGCCAAGTCAGGATGACTGGGACAAGAAGTTACCTCTCGTCGCCAGCCTGTATAACAATGTTGTGCACAGTACTACTGGTATTGACTCCCAACCAACTGCACCTTGGTTGGAAGCCCAGAACTGCACTTGACTTTCTGCTACCGGAAAGACAGCACACTGCAGCACCTGGCAGCATAGAGTTTGCTGTCAAGTACGAGAAGATGCTGCAGCAGGCCGTCGAACATATTAGAAAGTCTCAGGATGCTATGATCGCATCTGAGAATAAGTATAGACGGCCCTCTAACTTTCAGGTAGGTTATAGAGTCTGGGTCAAATCATCTGAACTGGGTCAGGAGCTGGGCATATCTTGCAAACTGATGCACCCGTACTTCGGTCCTTGGGAGGTCCTAGATATAGTGGGGGATCAGATAGTCGGACCTTCCTATGTGAGTCACATCACACCTCACTTATGCACACACCCAGTTTTTCACGCCTCAAAGCTGGCACTTTTCACAGAAACTTCACAGTTTCCTTCCAGACGGTCAATGCTGCCCCGAACCTTGGATGGCGAAGTTGACATCGACGGAATTGTGGAGCATCGAGTGATGCCAGTGCCTAAACCGCCAGGCAGAGGCCGCCCTCCTAAGCCAAGAATGCAATACCGTGTCAGATTCAGACCATCTGGATCCCAGTGAAGATCGGTGGTTCACTAGAGAAGAACTCATGCGAACAGCACTTCAAGTTATTGCAGGCTATGAAGGAGAACTCAAAGGGAAGATGCCTGCAGATTAGAAGACTTCTCAGAGGACTATCGAAGAAAAGGAGGGGGGAATGCGAGGATCTAGGTCCTTGGCAGGCCTAAGGGGGGAGAGAGAGAAGGATGATGATGATGATGAGGTGAGGGCACATACCTGGTATTGGCGATGGTCTGCATTGGGCAACATCTTCAAGTACTTCGTGGGCTGCTGACGTCAACGGTTGCATTGTCAATTAGTAGGCAGACTGTAGCTGTGTAGGAAGTAGGCTGGGCGCCGATCGCCAAGTAGGGAGATAGGGCCTGGACACTCRTGTTGGTGGTGGCGAGAGCAAGCTCTCATTGACATTGGTTTTTCAGTGTTACGATTCTTCACTGGTGTTATACTGGTGCATTTCTGCTTTCTGGACACTGTGATTCAATCTGGCCTTCAATGCGATTGTGCATTCTGGATATTGTCAATCTCGCTATTGCTCATTTTCCTTGCAGAATTTTGAACTGTAAAGTTTGGAGTCTTCGGACAGCAGTTTTGAGTCGCTTATATAAAAATTATTTGTACCTTTTGCTGATTATTATCATAAAAACAGAAAGCATATGTTAATGGTACTCATGGAGGGGTGGTCGTGATCCCACACACGTGTGATTTTGAACGCTCAACAAATAGGAATAACATCCAGCTATATCCGGATATCGGCACAGACATGGTAGCCTTGTCGTTATAGGCACTCTTATCCATGTTGATGGAATGTTGTTTCGTCTGCCAACCCCCCCTATTGCCATGAACCCAGACTTCAAACCAGCATCTCATGTCACACCGTCAAACACACTTCAGCACGTGAGGGTTGGGAACCAAAGCACGAGGTATGACAACTCGGAATTGTCGGGAAATGGAAGTCTAATACAATTGTGTACAGACCAAGCAGGGCGGCTGTGGCTGCCAGCCAAAGACAACCCAGGAATGAACTTTTGTTCCTCTCTCTCTCTCTCTCTCCCCACACACACACTTCTCTCTCTCTCCACACATCTCTCTCTCTCTCTCTCTCTCTCTCTCTCTCTCTCTCTCTCTCCTCTCTCTGTACAG